GCGGAAGTTGGCCCGGTCGATTCTATACGCACCGTCAAACGGACGACCATACCGGGCCGTATTTCGTGAACCGAATTCACCGGTGCGACGGACCATACCACGGCCGTACGGTAGGGCACCCAGAGGAGAACCACGTCTGACGGTGCGTATAGAATCGACCGGGCCAACTTCCGCAGGATGCGGATAAGATGCCTCAGATGCCGGTGGAGTGATAGCCACGTCAATCATGTCCCCGATAACAAACTGACAGTCCTAGACATGAAGAAAAATAAAGAAATTATATACTTTTGGAGATCGTCAATATCTACCGGTTACTTCAGTGTGCCGGAACTCAGATCACTCTGGTTGACCATCAGAAGAGTTTTGAGTAACATAAATAGACGTACAAGCTATTGCACATTCTTGCTCTACAGTGTGGAGACTTGTCAACTACGGGAACAAGATGAAAATAAATTTTCGGTGTCCGAACATCACTGTCTAAGTCGAATTGCACGAGTTTGGTGGGGCAACTGGACAAGCAATGCTGAGGTTAGGCGTAGTCTTGGGTAGTCGCGGGCATCTACTGGAGCGAGTAGTCGACATTCATAGATGACGTTGGTTGGAGCACGCGTTACGCACATTACCAGATAGGTTGTCACGGCAAGCGATGTTTGCTGCGTCAAGGAGCGATTGAACAAAGGTCAATGGGGGTCAAACTAAGACCTAGCATGAGGTTATGAAAACCCCACTGCATATGCATTGCGAGTTTGGCAGTGATTAGTGAAGTTCGGTTCACTTTATTTCGCTGTACGATAATGATGATGCCGATATGAAAACCCTAACCAGGAGACTGGGTCACATAGGTCCCGTTAGGCTCCATGGCTGGGGACCCTAAGATCAAGGTCCCGGTGGTTAGACACTGAGCGATATGGCTGGGTGTCACAAACAGTAGCGCTCATTATTCTCTTAACACCAATCTATATGAATTCTCTATGTTCTACTTGAATTGGCTTTCAACATTACAATCTTCATTCTTCTCTTTTACCCAAATGGGCGGACAAGACAATATCCAAATCTGGCGCACGAAAGTGCATGGTTATGGTTGTAAAAACTGAAACTGAAACATCGACAGATAGCAAGGTTTATGCACTGATCATACTGGGTGTCTTACTCCTTGGGAGTTTGTTAATTACTCACGGGCTCTAAACATTCTTTTGTGGTAAAACTGTGTGCATTGATCGAAAAAGACCACTGAGCAACTGTTTGGTCCTCATTAGCTGCTTTTTGCCCCCATCCGGGACTCAAACTGCGAACTTTCCACTACCACTGAGCTACATGATTGATGGCGAACATTTCAATATATATATATATATATATATATATATACCTCCACCGAAAAAGGTTAGCTATGATTAAGTTGTGGTATGCCGCAACAAATAAGCAGTCGCGAACAAACAGCGGCGACACTGCCAGGGTATGGTGGGTTTCAGGTTGGTCACCTGGCTCCTGTTTAAAAGCCACATAAGCCCAGTGACCGTGTCGTGACAAAAGTCGATGTGACTGACCTTTTAAAACTAAAGCCATTGACCTCCTCACTTCTAAGGCGAGGGATTACTTCCTGCTACCTTGCAGTTCGCACGTGGTTGTGCAAAGCCTAGAGATGCCCTAAAAATAAAAAACACCGAATGACGCTAGGGACATCTCTCGTACCAAACTTCCAAGTAACTTCATGATCATGATCATGTCTGGAGCCGACTTACCCCTTTTCCAAGGAACTAGCCGCAGTAAATTAAAGTAGGTATATACATTAAACACGTGCGAGATCAGACTGAGCAAAAAAAATTGCAGTACACTTATGTTTATAAAAAAAATTAATGTCTTTGATTTGTTAACGGGCGGGATACTGTTAGGTCACCCGTACCAAAGCAGGTTATTTTTCTTCGAGAACTCATAAGCACAGCTTTAAGGCTTATCCTTTCCAAAGAGCCAACCGTAGTAAAGTAAGTTTAAGGTCCAAGAGAACTCCTATCACAGCAACCGACTATCCCCCTCGGTAAAAACAAAAACATCACTGGATGTTGTGAATGCCCATTATGGTGGTGGTAAGGCAGTGAAATTCGCAATGAATGACAGGCTCCGAGTTTCAAGTCCTGAGATTCCGCTCCCACCACTGTTAGTAGGTAGCCTCGTTGCTGTCCCATTCAATAGCATACACCGATTCTCACGGGACCATCACGACGAGACTGCACCTTGACGTAGTGTGATGGCTTGCGCGCCTCAATGACCCTGCGAGCTATACAGGATGGCTCCTCACAGCCGCAGATCCAATCATGCCTGAAAGGTCAACGGGTAGAGGCCAGACGAAGTTCAGCCTCACAAGGCCAGCTGCTTGAGCACCTCCAGGCCTCCTTCATCTATCCAAATCCGCCCCTGGAGAGGTCACTCCAGTAAATAAACACGGTGAGGGACAGTTTACCGGTCAAAATTCCCCCGCTAGATGGACGTAGGAGCGGGGTACCTGAGGCTTCCTCTCGGTGGGAGAAGTCTTTGCACTTCATTGGACAGTTATCGCCCACCTAAGCTGGGCAGCCCCCGGCCAAAAAGATGCAGTCCCGTCCACGTTCCGCTTGTCTCATTGGGTGCATGAGGCTAAGGGCCGATCCCGAAAAACGGGCCGATAATCAACGCACAAGCGAACAACACAATTAATCGAAATTCAAAGGCCTTGCGTGATAGGTCTCCAGAAGCTCCCACAGGGGTGTTTCGTTCACGCTCCCGCGTTGGATTTACGCTTACTGCCTTGTGGGTCAGACTTTTGAGTCAAAGGCTCCGGTTAGGGTTCCCAAAGAAAAACCCCTTCTTTGGTGTGGGCTACCGCGAAGTATGCCGTGCCCTAAAGTCTTAGGCACCCATTTGGAAAACCCTCCTTCCCATCTGTCTAGTTCTTCCTCTCAATCCCGAATAATACCCTATCCCTGTTGTTTACAAGACCCATTGGATATTACTCAGCGTTTTGCCAACATGTCCAAACAATCAGGATTTACAGGATTTTTGAAGCCGAAATTCCGTTTTCACTTAGCCGCGTTCAATGTTCGCACGCTCTATCAGATCGGTCAACAAGCTGCATTAGCTAGAACCCTTGAAACTTTCAATTTAGATGTATGTTACGTCTCCGAAACATGCATACAAGACCCTACTTCAATTATCTCTCTGCGCTCTCCTGATCCAACCTCAACCTCACGCCTCACCCCTCGTGCGTCAGGTGATTCAACGTCCGAAGCTCGCGGTGTTGCTGGTGTCGGGATTGCGCCAAGTGCCAAGGCTGAACGCTCGCTTCTCGACCGGATTCCAATCAGTAGCCGACTGTGTGTCGTACGTCTCGACGGTTCAGCGCGGGTCAACAGCTACAGAACGAAGCGTCCATGTCTATTCGTCGTATCGGTGTATGCCTCGACGGATTGCAGTACACCTGAAATCAAGGATGAATTCTACAAGGACCTTTCGCGATTACTCCAAAGCGTTCGAGCAACGGACATCGTGGTAATCGCTGGAGACTTCAATGCCCAAGTGGGTTCCTTAGACGAATCAGAGGCTTCTTGATGGACCACACGCAATCCCAGCCAACCGGACGGACAACGGAGATCGCCTACTTCAACTCTGTGCCGACCACGGACTGTTCCTGTCAAGCACGAACTTCTCGCACAAGAAACGTCACCGTCTTACATGGAAACCGCCAACATCTTCACAGCGCTGGACCCAAATCGACCACATCGCCATCAGCCACCGCTGGAGGGGATCGATTCAAGACTGCCGCTCTTACTGGTCAACACCTGTTGATACGGACCGCGCTTTGCTAAGAGCCAAACTCTCCTTACGCCTGACAAAAACCGTAAAAAAGTCACCGAAAACGGATACTTATGATACAACGTCAGTTGCAAATCGGCCTTCGAAGCGGAACTCTCCGAACGCCTTTCAGTCCAACCGCCAGCCGAAGGACTCAATGAACACCGGAAAAAAATCAAGGAAGCTATGCAGATATCGATAAAAACGTCAGACCCTCACGCAGTCTCAAAACATAAACGATGGATCTCATCGACCTCGCCTGCCTTGCTGGACGCCCACAGAACCCTTCCTCCTGATGCCACATATGACCCAGCCGCAAATCTCTTAAACGCCAGCTCATCAAGAGTCTGAGGAATGACCGCGAGAAGTGGTGGCTAGAAAAGTGTACAGAGATAGAGAAAGCTGCGGCTATCGGTAACAGTCGCGATCTTTCCCGTCTTATTAGGAATACGGGCCCTAGGAAAATAGACGTAAGTAAAGTAATCAAGAAATCTGATGGCACACTGATTCACGATCAGCAACGTCTTGATCGATGGACTGAGCATTTCAAGGCTCAGTTCAACTGGCCCCCATCGACATTTGAACTGCCACTCTCCACTGCGACTGCGCGAATTCTGCCAGTCGATGCCAGTCCTCCATCAGAAATGGAGGTTTCCCGGGAAATAAGCTATCTCAAAAGGTATAAGGCCTTAGGCCCAGACGGGCTCTCCCATCTGTTTTTAAGGATGGAGGCTTAGCATTGGTTTCGGAGTTAACGAAACTCCTGAGCTCATCACGGGAGAGGGAACAGGTTCTAGCTGAATGGTGTGAATCGGTGATCATACCGATTTACAAGGTGACATATCCTCTTGTGAAAACCACAGATGAATTAGTTTAATTAACACTGCTTCTAAACTTCTCGCCGGTATCATACTCCGTCGATTGTCTGCTGCACGTGAACGGTGTACG